TGTTCCCTCTCATCCATCCTTTCAGCAGTCACATCTTATTTCTCATCCAGCTGCTGCAGAGGGTTGCTCTGGGCCTCAGCAATTCTGCTGAGCTCTGCCACAGCCACAAGGCACTGCACGGTTTGCTCACATGTCCCAAAGCAGCAGGAAACAGCCCTGAAGAGAGAGCAGAGGGAAGGCTTTCTCAGAGCTCACTGCACAGGAAGGTGCTGCCACTTCTGTACGTGAGTCACTTCTTTTGGTGGTTTCCTGAATGCTTCTTAGAACTGACTGACTGGACAGCAGAGCAAAAACTGCCAGAAATCACACTGAGGTTTTTTTGAAAAAGAATGAATGTAAAGCTGACAAAAATGCACATGTGTCGAGGCCTTTAAAAATATTGTATCTGTCTAAAAAACTAGATTTGTATTAAACTTCTGATGCTGAACAAGGAACTAATGTAAGATACAGATATGAAATGGATACAGTTACTGTGGGTGGAAGAATTCCCAATTCTTTGGGAATTAGCCTCAAAGAAACTAGGACATAATGGGATCAGGAAAAAAAGTCCTCTTTATTAGCAAACTGATTTTTAAAAAGCAGTACTGGTGAAAATTGAATTATTTTTTTACATATTGCCAGCAAGACACCACAAGAACAAACTGCAAGAGAGGCAAAAGTTTACAGATTATGTAAGATTACTTATGACAGCAATGCTTTATGCTGGCTGCAAAGTACTGCAGAAAGAGCTACTGAGAACTGCAGATGAAGTTCCGTGTCAATAAAAGCAGAATAATGCACTACAGGCACTTGTTTTCACCAAACACATGGAGTTACTGAGCCCCAAATTGGCTATTGCCAACAAATATCTTGTGTCTTTATGAAAAAGCATCTGGAAACATCAGCTCAGCGGCAGTTCAAAAGTAAACCCAACATCACAACAAACACACACAAAGAGACAACTATGTCATTGCAATCTCTCATGTATCGATGTCTTGAATACTGCACATAGTGCTGATCACCTCACCTCAAAGAGGATAAAAAAACAAGTGAAGGAAGGGAAAAAAGATAATTGGAAATGGGAAAAAGCTTCCATGTGAGAAGAAAGCAGTTAGACCTGGCCTTTCCAGCTTGGGATCAAAAACAGCTAAAGGGTTCAGGTATGAAGGACCACAAGAGACCATGAATGGTGTGAAAAAGTGAATGGAGAAGGAACAGTGGCTGTCTTACAACAGAGCAATCAGTAAGCAACAAATTTTAGACCAAATCAAGTGTACTTCTTTACATCATGTCTACTGAAGTCGTGGGATTCCTTGCCAGACATGGAAGTATAAGCAATTTTTAAATGGGATTTGATCAAGTCATGGAAATCCACATGCCACTTACTGGTAGGATACACTGAACAACCATCGTTGTACTCACTATTATATATTGTTTCCTGAAAATATCTGCTAAAAGGCAAGATGGAAGAGGATCTTTGGTCCAGTTCAGTATGGTGTTCCTTACATATGGGAGGATAAAAAAAAGGAAACGGATTTTCACAGGTAGATCTTGTCATCAAGCATGACATTAGTTAGTTACCTGGATAAAACTGTAGCAGGAATGAAAAGAAGGACAGGATGATATGTAAAGGTGAAAGATCAAGAAAAAGGGAAAAAACAGTGGCTTTGGAATGGAGTTAAAATATTTGTCTTTAGAAAACCTGGTGTAAAAACACTGATGTAGGCTAATGAAATTCCATTTAGGAAACAGGAAGACACTAGATCTGAATATTTATCTTAGACTTCAATGTTCATCAACAAAGAAACAGAAACACAAACAAGTTCAATGGTTTACAATTTGTTCAGCAAGCCAAGAACGCAGGAGTGAATAACACTTATAGGTAGTCAAGTAATAAAGCAGGAGGAAAGACTTCTCAAGAGGATCTGGAGGAAAAGCTTCACAGGAGTAGCAATGGGAACAAAAATTACTAAGTTTAAGACAGAACTCGCTCAACTTATGAGAAATTATACAATGTGGTTGGCCTGAAAATGGTGAGGAACAAACATTTAAGATCCCTCTCAGATTAAAATCTGTCTCAAATGGCAGCAAAGGGAAGTACAGCTGCAGAGAAGGTCAGTGCCATCATCATCACTTCACAGGAAAGGGAAGTGAGTCTCCAGACTCTGATTCTCCTCAAGCTCTTCCGATGCAGCTTAAAGGAGAATAAGGAGAGCAAGCAAGGCTTCAACCAGCATTTACCAACCCTGAAACCAAAAACATGCAAACAAGTGAACAAAATCCATGCAGCTCATCTGCAGCACGGATGGGTAGAAACAAAAGGTAAGTCTGAAAGTCTGATAGGACATCAAACGAGAAGTTAAAGCCATCACTGCATAACCATCAGGACAGGAATCTGCACAAAAATGATGATACAGACTCACTGACAATAAAATATGTGACATCAGGTTTTTTTTATATTGCTCTATATCTGTAATGTCTCCTAAAATACCTGTGGAGCAGATAATAAAACCCATCTGATTGAGTAGGGAGAATGTGACAAGGGGTCACAGAGACGGAAGAATAATCTGTTCAGATGACATGCAGTTACAGACCACTTATATTTTTACCATCTACACTAGGTGGGCTGTAAGGTACCTGTATGCAGTGTTTGGACAAGCAGAACTAATATAAATAACAGCAAAAACAGTCATAGCAAAGTACTTCAAATAGCCAGCTCACACCAAAAACAAGTGGTTTCTATACGCCTTAAACAACTGCTTCCCGGAACAGGAGATTTCATCAACAAACATCTCAAATAGGATGAAAAATGGGCAACTTCAACATACAACATCAAGGAAATACATATCAGAACCAATACAGTGACACAGCTCAGAATGTGCAACCCTTAGAGACGGCTGGGAATCCCAAGAAGTGAAAAATAAATGCTCATTTCAAAGCACAGCAGCAACCTTGACTGTCCTTAGAGCCACATATGTCTTACTAAGGACACAATGAAGGGAAGAAAGGGAACAGAACAATGTAACTAATGACAACATTTAAAAGGTTTGTTGGCCCTTCTGAAAATAGAAATGGAAGCCTGTAAAAAGAAACAGATGTAGGAATTCTGGTTTTTTAACCTCTAGTCTTAACGTTTACACTTCACATCTTGTTTCTGAAACAGGCAGTGTGAAAGACCACAAGACGTGTTGATTTGCTGAGGTAAATAATACCGAGTAAAATGACTTTTGGAAGTGATGCTCATCAAAATGAACTGTTCATATGCTCAGAAATCTGAAAATTCCAAGGACAGATGATCCCACCTTTACAGCACAGCTCCCTGGCAATGAGCTTTACTGTGGTACAGGGCAAGAGGCTGTGAGCAGAAGCACGAAAAAGAAAGAAAAAAACGAGCCAAGGTGCTGTAAGAGGGAAAGTAGTAAATTCATAGGAAAATATCAACAAAACAGAGGTTATAGAATGAGTTAATTATATTTTCATGCACCTGAAACTAAGCACTTAGCCCAGGTTTCTGTCTGTTATCCAGTTTAAGGCTACAGAAGGTAACAATGTCTCTGTGTTACAAAGAGCAGTCCTGCTGCTGCTCTTGAATTCTACACTCCTATTGTTGGATAAAAATAGCAAGGGTTTAAGGATTGGGGGGAAAAAAGTTAATCAAGTTTAAAGACCAGTACAAGGATCAGTACAACTCTCAATATAGTTTTAATATTTAAATCCAACCCATGGTCCATAATCTGGCAAAGTAATTACTATAAAGAGGGCACAGTCATGTAGGTAAATGTGTCTAAGAGAAGACCTGAAAACCTAATTTATCATTGGGATCACTGATATATCCTACAAAGGGGAGAGGAAAATATAAACAGAAAGCCTCTTCCATCAGCCAAAAGGAGTTTAAAATGATGGAATGCACTCAACTTAAGAACGCACTTGAGTTAACCTTAAGAATTCAGGGAAGAACTATGTGCAGCAGCGTGCAGAGCTTGAAGACACCCAACCAAAGTGCACCGCTCCAAGAGCATATTCCACGTTAGCAAGCCCAAAGCCGCTGAACCGAAGACTTCGAAAAGCAACTGTGACTAATAGTTCCACACCCTCGCCTGCTTTCCACCCCTTCAACCCCATCGCGGGGCAGAACAACCGCAGCAGCCTCAGGGTCAGCAAAGAACTCCAAGGGCCGGTTTCCAACATCCCAAAATATTCTGGCGCTACCTTATTCCAGGAGCTTCTCGTTGGGGACTCCACAGCTGAAGGCGGGAGGGGACCAAACCCAGCCTTGGCACTTGGCCCCGCTACAACGAGCAGAGGGGCCAAGACGCCCCAGCCTCCCACAGACCCCCCCACGGAAACCACCGGGGCTGACACTCCACCGGTGCGAGGCCCTCGGCACCAGGGCACCGGGAACAACCCACAGCCCACCGCCGGTGCGGGGCCAAGGGCTCCGGGGGGGCCCCGCGGAGCCGCCGAGGGGCCGAGCGGACCCGGTGCCCGCCGGCAGCCGCGGCCCCCGCCCCGCCGTGACCTTCACTGCCGCCCCCACCGGCGCCGCGGCCCTCACAGCGCTCCCCCTTCCCTCCTTCCCTTCCCTCCCCGCGGCCGCACTGCGGGGACCAGCCCGGGCCGCCCACCCGCGGCCGCCCCCGCGCCAGGCCCGGAGGTGACCGGAGGGACGAAGAGGGGCCGAGGTTGGGAGGGGGGGGGTAGTAGCGGCTCCCGCCGCACTCACTATTCCTTGATGAGCACCATGGCGGTGCCGCCGCGCCTCCCGGCCGGGCCAGCCCCGCTGAAGGTGACAAGGAGGCGCGTCCCCCGGGGGCCGCTCCGCTGCCGGACGGCGATGGAGCCGAGCGAGCCGAGCCGAGCCGAGCCGAGCCGAGCCGAGCCGAGCCGAGCCGAGCCGAGCCGAGCCGAGCGCGCCGCACCGGGACGGGGGGGCCGGGACGGGGGGGCCGGGGCGGTTCGTCTCTGCGGCAACGGCTGCGTCACCTCCGCGCCGCGCGCGGGGAGGGGCCCGCGCGGCCCCGCCCACCGCCCCCCTCAGCGCGGCGAGAGCGCGGCCCGCCGATTTTTTTGGGGTTTTTTGGGCTATGAAGTGGCTCCTTTAGGGGTTCTCCCAAGAGGTGTAAAACTATACTGCACCGGTGCGGTTTGTTTCGGCTCTCCGAGACTTTGGGGTTCCCAAAGCGGTACAGCGGTCTCCCAGCAGTGCCGGAGTCCGCTGGCAGTCCCTCGGATTTTTCTGAGTCGACTCCGATGTTTTTAATTACAGCAGCGTCTTTAGGGTCTGTCTCTCAAGAGATGTAAACTGCGCGGTGTTAATCGTTTCAGCTCTTAAGGCTGGCGTTCCCAAGAAGTCTCCCAGCAGTGCCACGAAGCCCTCCTGCCACTAGGGAGGTTCTACAATCATAATACCATGGAATGGTTGGGGTTGGAAGGGACCTTAAGGATCATTCAGTTCCAACCCCCCCGTGCCCTGGGCAGGGACACCTCCCACTAACCCAGGTTGCTCCAAGCCCTGTCCAACCTGGCCTTGGACACTTCCAGGGATGGGGCAGCTACAGCTTCTCTGGGCAACCTGTGCCAGGGCCTCACCACCCTCACAGGGAAGAATTTCATCCATGTATTTAACCTAAATTTCCCCTTTCAGTTTGAACCCATTATTTTTGTCCTGTCACTCCAGTTCCTGACGAAGAGTCCCTCTCTGCCTTCCCTGTAGGGCCCCATCAGATCCTGGAAGGGGCTGTGAGGTCTCCACAAAAACTTCTCTTCTCCAGGCTGAACAGCCCCAAATTTCTCAGCCTGTCTTTCCAGGGGAGGTGTTCCAGCCCTCTTGCCAGCTCCTGACCCCCCTCTTTTGGGAGGGTGAGGAAAGGGAATGACTAGTGATCAGGGTATTAATGCAAATATCCAGGGGATAAGTCAGTGCTACAGTCAGACAGGGTGAGTGTCCTCAGGTAATGGGCTCCACCTTGTCACCAGGTCATGATTTATCGCGTTTTCAAGTCTTTAGTTTTCAATATTACTGCTGAGCTGCAGTCACCCAGGCTACACTTGGCATCAAGAGGAACCCCAGATACTTATTAGAAGGCGATAGCAAAAACCCTTTTCTGTGACCTGTACTCAGTAAAAAACACGGAGGAGTGCTAATCTTACCACTTTTGTCACTGGAATCACAGAGCAAGGATTGTCATTATTGGATTGGGAAAGTAAACCACCATAGATTTAGCATCACCAAGCTCAAGAGGGGATAACTGAGATGTGCAGCTTTCCTGCTGACACCTCCATTCCCACCTAAGGTCAGTTGTTCATCTTTCATTATTTGACACTAATTTGTCCTGCATAACTGAGCTTGATCTCATTCTCAACCTGCCCTCTACGGTTTGGGGACTTTTTCCAGAGATTAAATTTTAATTCTCCAGTAGAGCTTAATTGGCATTAGCTATTAGCTCCTAACCTAGGGAAGAAAAATTCAAGGAAACATTTAATCTGTGTCCTGGCCTTTGGCAGGTGACACCCTGTAAAGCATTCACGCTTCCATAGTCTCATTAGGAAGCAAGCAATGCTTTTATTGTGTTCAGCCTCAGAAGGAAAACTAATGATTAACTTAATATCACTTTATTTTGAGATAGTACTGCAAGAGTGCACATCACCTTACAAACACAGAGAAGATGACACAGGCCTGCCCCGAGGAGCTTACAATTCAACTTTGACAAACACCACAAAAAATTCTGTGGACAGCAAAAGGTGGGAGAGGTAATGCTCTTGGGTTAAAGAGGGGGTTTTCTGAAAGAAGGGATTGTCTCCAGAGTAAAAAGTGAGTGACAGAGGGTCAGGCACAAGGAAGTGACAGGCAGCAGTAGGGTGACAACGTGGAGTAGAGGACACCTGATAAAAACAGATTGCACAGAGACAGGCTGGCAGCACAGGCAGAAAAACAAGGAGCTGCGGGGGTTTATAATTAACATGTAAGAATGCAGCTACATAACACATCATTGTTTCAGCTACTCCAGAGAAGATAACATTGTGAATTATAAATCAGAAGTGGCTTTTTTTTAAATTAAAAAAAAAAAAAAAAGAAAAAAAAAACAACCACCAAAACCAGTCCCTTCCCATCAGGAATCCTACTGTAATACTCATTTCCATTATCTAGAAAAGAAGTACATTGCAGTTCTAAATTGGGGCACAGGGAATACCAAAAGCTCTGCAGATGCAGAAAAGACTCAAAAGGGGGGAAAAAAAGTAACAAAATTTGTAGTTTTAAGATTTCTTTTTTACCCTACGCGATCTGCTTCAAATTTTGTAGCATATTTTCCAAATTCATCAGCATGTCAGGAGGGAAATCTCCTACTAGAAAACATTTTAGTGATTTACTGATTTAGTTACAATCTCATTATCCTGCAATTTTCCTTTGTAGATGGAGCATGAAAAGACCAGGCTTTGCTGTGGGAGTTGAACATTTTAGTTGCTGTAGCAGCATTGCAGTTAAGTTGGAGCCTCAGCAAGATTTGCTCTTTTTTTTTTTTGCATACATCTGTGTCCAGTTTCATCTCGAGGATCCAGATATAGCTTTATGCAGTTACTGTCATAGTGTAAAGTGTCCTATTAAAGCAGAACAGCACAGATTTTCTCTGCTACTTTTGACACAGTATCATTGCATTAGTGCTATAATGACTCTGTCAACAGGGCTTAGGCACTGACAGATTAGTGAAAGCAAAAAGCTGTCATCCTCCATTCCCCACTCTGTGAATTTAATTTTTTATATGTATTTTTTTAGCATGGATGCACATTAAATGCATGTGAGTCTGTAGAGGTCAGAAGCAGCGTTTTCAGAAGGTGCAATCACCTTTACACAGCAACACCCTTGACTCTGAGGGCCCCTACAAACAGCAAAGTACTCACAGATGAGGTTTCTGCTTCATTACATTCCACTGGGGATACTTCCATGGAGGTCTTTCCCACGACCACCCTCCTTGCACTTCTCATGTGAATGAGGGTTAGGGGGGTACAAGGGGCATAAAAAACCCCCAAGACCTACAAATTCATAATTTAGGAATTATGAAAGTAGTTAAACACATTGACCTATACTTGAGTTATAAAGGTAAACACATTATTGATTCAAATTGCTGGGGCTCTCCAGCCTTTGGTAGCCCATTTATTTTTCCCACAAGGTGGCTCATGCACACAGGGAGTGCACCAGGAATTTTCTTGATCCTTCATCTCTCAGCTAGAAGGCAGCAATGCTGTTTTCCACTCCAAACATACATAATCCACAGTTACATTTCCCCGAGCCTCAAAAAACGAGGCAAACTGCCCCTGATCCACCAGGTGACAGGACCACCCTGACAGTGTTTGTTTCTGCACTGTGCATGACAACATTTAAAGAGGCTGAAGGCAGAATATTGTCCTCCAAGAGCCCATTGCTGCAGGAGGTGCAGGACTGAAGCAGTTACGCCACAATCAGTAGAGTATTTGCACATCTTGCATGCAGATATATTTGAGACTGCTTTAAAATTAGTTTGGTTCACAACTGTCAGAATAAATTAAACCCCACTAGTGTCAGACCAGTGTTTTACCTTAGCCCAGCATGTTTTCTTCATCTGTGACCAATTCTCAAAAGACAGAATATGTAGACAGAACAATAATCTTTCCTTGGCACAACTTTCTTATTTACAGCAACTTAAAATCTCCCTGAGTTAGTGGATGCAGAGCATTGTTTAACCAGCCCCTTTAAAAAAAAAAAAAATAATTTATACTTCTGTTCCCCACTACATTCTGTAGCAATGACTCCCACAGTTTGTTGCAAGGCCTGAGAAGGTGACACCACTTGTCTGTTCAACTTTGAATAGCTAAAACTCCCCTGTGTACCCACTAGGACTGCAACTCCAAGGCATGAGCTCTGCTCCTCACAGCTGACCAGCAGCTTCTAAACACCATGCCACATCAGCAGAGACACTAAAAGTCACATATCCACCGTTTTTTCAAATGAAACTGGATTTGAAGGTATTCCTAATAAAGGGCAGGGACCGGGAACTGCAGTAGGGAGGTAGATGGCAGAAATAAAGGGGTGTTCTTTGAAGTATGTGCAGCTAAACTAAAAGGCAGCAGCAACTCCACTGTGACTTCATGAAAATATGCCACTCTATATTCCACTATTTTGCAGAGACATTTATAACAGGAATTCAAGTGACATAAGAGTGGAAGCAATCACATTCAATGTTCTGAAACAGAGGTGGAAGTAATGCTGACTTAGCACACTGACACCCTCCAGCAGCTTCTCTGCTTTAGGACACTGAGACTGTGGATGGTGGCTCAGACACTCACCTGTCTGAGCTATTCCTAAAAAAAGGTACTTAATCTGTCATTCTCGTGTCACAAATACCTTGAAGCAAGAGTAGGACTCTTCTCAAAATATTTAGAAGTATTGTAATATTGAATGCAGAAACCTGCAGAAAGCCCTCTGGAAACCTAGGCAGGTGGGTCTCTGAACATGTACGCCGGGTGAACAGGAAAATTAACCAAAACTCAGCCTCCTTAATTATTGCTCGACACAAAAGAAAGAAAAGCTGGGAAGATCACTGAATCAACACCAAAAGACAAAAAGTTCCAGAAGAGTAAAGCGTTGACAGCAGGCAATAAGGCTGTCTTGGAACAAACACATTTAATAAAGGCAACACATTAAGAAAAAAAAAAAATAATTCACAAATGTGTCAAATGCTCAAGTGGCGAGTCCTTTCGAAACGAGTGGCTGAAGACCGAAAGGTACCGTGGAGCAGCATCGGAACTGCTCGCAGGAGCAGTGACTCGAGATGGCGCTGCCGTCCCACCGAGCTGCCGCGTCATCCTGCGCTGGCAAAGGGCTCCAGCCGTCCTGCCCAGGCTCTGTGCACGCTTGCTCTTTAGGAAAGGTGAAGCCCTGGCTGGGCTGAGCATCTGCAGGCTTTGAACCGTCGGAGAAGGAGTTAACACCCGGTTTCCAGGTAATTTCTCTCAGGAAGGTCTGAGCGTGGTGTTGTTTCTAATCCTCCGCTTAGCTGAGTCTTGTACTTTTCCAACCGGACAGAGAAGCTGAATGACTTACCCCCTGCCAGGCTTTGCAGTAAAACACCACCACATCTTCATAATAATTTTGTTTCTGCCCCAACCTTTCTGCAGCCACCAGCTCAGCTCAGTGTGCCTGCTGGGGATGCTCATCCTCACCCCTGCACAGTCCTGCTCCGAGCAGTGAACACTGTCCTACAGTGTTAACACAAGTCACAAGGCTACAGGGCCTGAGCTACTGACCTCAGCAAGGAGGTTAAGGGCAGAAAAGTCTGCTTTAGACAAGACCTCTATAAAAATAAGCAGGTTAAAAATTCCCTTTGTATTCCCTCCCTAGTGAACAGGCCTGGGGCACCTTTACCCATGCATATTGCTCTGACAGTCAGCTTCACCATACAATCAATCACCACGTGCTCTGTCCAGACAGAGCATCAAAAAGGCTCCTAGTACAGCCAAACTGGCAGCATTTTGGTCAGTCACACTAACCTGGTGACTATTGTCAGAGCAATGTAAATAAGCTATGGCTAAAGGAAAAATTACATCACCACATCACCCTGCCCTGTCCACAGGATCCAGTTACCAGGCACAAAGGAGTGTTCTGCATTCTTGATTCTTTTCACCAGCTCACAACACGTGAACACCAAGGTATCTGGAGCCCCAGAACTCAGCTTCAAGAAGTTTCTCCACTTTACTAAATACACATTGCTGCTCCCCTCCCAGGGTCATGTCGAAGGGAAGAAGAGGCAAAAGGCAACAAGTCTCAAAAGCACTTCATCTGTAAACAAGATCCAATTCCTATCTCAAGGGTTCCAGGACTGCAGACAGTTTAAAACACATACAGGTGGTTTGTGAACCAGGAAGAGGAAGAATTCCAGGCCTCTGAAGGCTTGGTCTAGGACCAGCAGTCCACTATAGGCTCTTCATTTCTTTATGGAAGGCAGATCCATTGCTCACAGTCTGTGTCGTTTGCAGTAATAAAAGGTTTGGGAGCTGTCAGTGCTAGCAGCCAACATTTAGCAACACAGTGAAGCTGTGCTCATACACATAGGAATAAAATCCCCTTCCCTGCCTCAGAAACAGTCTAGGGTACGTCTGAATAGACAGTAAAACCACCGGGTCCAGCTACACATCAAGCAGAAAGACCATTACGAAGCCTCAGGAAGGGAGGAGAGTGCAGCTTGCATCTGAGACTGTCAGCCGAGGCTGGGGGAAGAGGGGGAGAAAAAAGACTTCACTGCGTTACATTTGCAAACTCAAACTATGGTCTGTCTTCCCTCTTCTCCCATCCCTCTATTCCTTCTCTCCCCAATCTCCTATGCAAACTCTCTGCTGCTGGAGAGCGTGATCAGGGGATAATTTAAGACACAATATCTGTGTGGCCTTTAAAAAAAGAAAAAGTGTCCCGTGTTTTGGAGTAAGGAGTAGGAAGTCTCCTCCTGCCATATATCTGAGGAAATCTCAGTCATGATGTCCGGCCCTCACTCCAGTGGTGAGCAAAGACTGGCAGAGCCAGGGGAGGAAAATCCTGGCTTACACCACAGGTAGAACCCACGGATGTGGTAGGAACCTGTACAGGGGAGGTTGTATGTGAAGCACCAGTTTAAACAAAGGCTTCCTCAGTGGGAGTGCCATTGATTTTGAAGAAAAGTTTGGCATCTTCCATCTTCTGCTTTTTTTCTCTCTCTAGCCTGCGTCTGTAGCAGACCAGGTAGATAGGAAGGCAGAAACCCAGGAGGCTCATGACAAGCAAGCCAACATTCACCTGCAGGAAAAAAAGCAAACCAAAATTAGGCAGGCAAGGGAGGACGACAGCTCAGTCACGCATCCTGCAGTGTCAGAACCCAGCCCACGTCACTCAGCTGTGGGCAAACCAGGACACGCCCTGCTCAGTGTATTGGCAACATCCTCCACTGTTTTTATATTTACACTCCTGTGCCCAGAGCACCATGTGTACAAGCTACACACTGTAAGAGTTTGTTGCTCAGGATTATGGCTGTGGGAGTCTCATTCTACAGAAAAAGCTGCAGCTCTTTCACACCAAGTTGGCTGATTGAAGAGCAACAGGCTGCTGGCGTGGGCACATGTAGCCTAGAGACCAGAACTCTCCACCCGTGTCATTATTTTATTGAGCTGCCCAGACTCTCAGCAAGACACTACATTACCCCTACCCCTCAACAGCCATTTGGCTTTTTGGACATTAGCATCAGCAATCCAAAATTTACTGGTAAATGGAGCTAAGAGCTCTTAAGGGTCAGAGTATTTCTATCGTATTTTGAGGTCTCCTCACAGTCACTCACTTTGACCTGACAGATTTTGACTCACTGAATAAACTGTTAGTGGAAAGCATTCCCTTTCCCCCTTTCCATAAATCAGCGTAAGGGTTAATGGCTTTCCCTCTCAGTGAGTCATTACTCACACAGAGAAGGGTCTCCTGGACAGCACCAAGGTAACAGCAGATTAAGGGACAGGTAAAAGTCCAGCTGTTTTTTAACCTTGGTTCATGCACAGGAGTCCTTTTGTTTTTCAAGAAACGAGCCAAAAACCATCTTAACCACCCAAGCTTTCACATGAAATTTAAGAACTTGCCCAGAGGGGGTCTCCTTTCAAAGGTCCTGTCAGTGCCATGAAGAGAGGCTGCTGCAGAAGGGCGAAGAGGGCACTGATCAACGACTGCAACCCTGTCAAGCTGCCAAACTGAGTAGAGGGGTATCTGTCAACAAAGAGAGCAAGAGCATTATAATATGTCACCTTGACTGTTCACATCACCCAGATCAGATTACACTCCCAGTCAACTAACAGAGACTAATTTATAGAGACTAACTTGAGAGCATGGTCAAGACAGTCATAATGTGCAGGACTTCTCTCTCCTGGACTTATCCAGGTATAGCTACCTTTTTACAGGGTATTTGGCTATACCCGATGGTGGCCCTGGTGCCAAGGCTGGAGCCTTCCTCTCCAGACTGTTCTCATCCTAAGCTCTCAAACTTTAATATAAAATCCAGAACTTGTTTTGTTTTGCAGCTGTACTGTAGGCAGGTGGAAGTGCTTATACAACTACTGTTCCTATTGCACAGGGAGCAGAGTGTTGATATTTATAAGCTGAACGCAGGGCCTCTTTATCCAGATGACACCATTTGTGGCTGAGCAATTGTTTTTATCTGGTTACAACAATTTGCTCCCTTTGGAAGTGAGTGAAACCTGCACAACAGGTATGTGTTTTCCTTTTTAGAGGACAAGTCTGATCCTATGTCAAACTAAATAACACTGTTGACTGAATTGATGAATATCAGATAATACTAATGGAAAAACAAATTTCAGAAACCATCTTTCTCTTTCCATGACTGAGCAGTGTTTAAAAAGGGTCAGGTTAAACTAAGCTTGGGAGGACAGAAAGAAGTGGGTCAAAACCTTCAAATATTGAAATAAGTCACATTCAAAGCAAAAATACCTCACTCCAGGAAGTTCCAGAGAGTTGCAATGGCCAAACAGGATTAGTTTACAAGCAAGCTGATATGTACAGCAACATACATTTATTTACCTTGCCCAAGACAAAATCTTTCACTTCTAGCTGCCAGGAAACCAAAAGTTTATGCATTTTTGAAGCAGAGTCTTAGATGGGTTTTCTAGTCTGGATTCCCCAGACACTGGGACCAAAACCTTTGACAGAAGGAGTCTGTGGAGTTGTGGAGTCTCCATCCATAGAGATTCAAAACACAACCGGGTGCAATCCTGGGCAACCTGCTCTAGCTGACTTTGCTCAAGCATGAGAGATGAACTAGACGGTCTCAAGAGGTCCCTTCCCACCTCAACGATTCTGTGATTCCCTGAAAGAGAACATCTCCTTTCTGTTCCTCTGTCCCAACAGCTCAGGACAGAGGGGCAGATCTGTTTTCAAAACCAAACACATTGCTTAACAAGGAAGAGAGTATTTACACTCAGCTATCGATAATTTTGATAAGGTGGAAACAGGATGGATGATCTGTCCTGGGAAAGGGAGGAGGCATCACTAATGCTATCTTGAGCAATGCTTTACCAGTGTAACTTCAGAGCAGAGCAGCGGCGATGTTTTCAGTTACGTTAATGTTTTACCCAGGCACATGCACACATCTGCTCATTGTAAGACAAAAACAGCCTTGAGCTTTTACTATATAACCTTAGTGTCAATACCATAGTCTCACCTGAGGCCCACACAGAGCTGTGCCTGTCTCACTGCAGTAGCTATGCCAAAGGGACTGGCTGTTGCTAAACAAGGAAGGCACCAGCTGGGACTTCAGACTAGTTACTGTCATGTCTAGTGGTGACTGTGGAAACAAGTTGCATCATTTTTCCCCTCTGACCACGAAGACTTCCTGATCTGCCTCTCACCTGGACAGCCTATCATCCCAAAACAGTTTATCTGGCCAGCCACATTTGATAGGTAACCAGAGACTTACACAGCAGCATAAAGGCCTCCCACAGCTGAGTGGATGAATCCTCTCACAATTGTGTGCAAAATGAACGAAAGAATCTGAAAAGAGAAGCAGAAAAAACCATCACATTCGAGATACCACCCAGGCGTGCCAGACCCCAACACACAACCACTCCTAAAAGCTGTTCTTTCTAGTACAAAGGTGGGATTGGATAACCCAGAACCAAAACCCAAAATATCACCACAAGGGAAGAAATCTGCACTTGTCTCAAGGCACTGCTTTTCCTTTCTTTGCAGAGGCCCCTGAGGTTAACCACACACAAGACCTCTCTCATTTGCAGATGGCACTGCTGCAAGGATGTGTCCCCAGCAACCTGTGACCAGGATCACAAGTGGTTTTTCATGGCGACCAATTTAGTTAATTTTCCACAAGTTATTGCGGACAACACGCGAGTAGGAGCAAATTACATCTGTTTGCCTATATCATCAAGGCACGCTTAAGTATAGCATAAAATCACTAAACTCCTCTGCCAAAAATAGGTGGTGCCACAAAATAAATATTTTAACAGGTTTACAATCCCACATGTACCATTGGGCACAGCATTTGACGCAGAAATAACCTGCTGTATATAACCCTGTGCTGTGCTTCTTGCAGCAAATTTTCCAACTGTCAGCAGCTTAAATCAAGCCCAGGTTAAACACACAGGCACTGCTGAAGAGGATCTTGGTAGGAAAGTATTTGTTGTTACATAGCTCAGCTGCAGAAGCTTCTAAGTGTGAATAAATTCTGGATCAAATCTGACATTTTAACTAGAGCTGCTTCTTTTGGTTCTCTCAAGGGTATGTAAACTGCATGGTACTATTTGCTTCAACTCCTGGGGTTCCCAAGCAGTACAGAAGTTTCCCAGCAGTGCCAGAAAGCCCTCCTGCCACTAGCACGTTCTCCTGGCACTGTCCTGCCCGTTATTTTGCCCAGCCCCACTCTGCCAGCCCCTCCAGCACCCCCATCCATTCCACTCATTCACCTGCAACGGTAGGTTAGGAATAAGACAGGTGATTCCAAATCCAACCAGCAGGAAATTCGTGAATACAAAGGCATTGGTGGCATTGGTGATTTTCTGGATCTGACGATCACGCTTTTTCTTTTTCTTGTCACTTCTGGAAGGACAGCAAAACCTGTGTTACAAAAGCACTTTCAGCAGCAACTGGAACTCACAGCAAGATTCTCCACATATCACATCAACTCTATCTAAACCAGCTTGGCTAGAGGTCTGCCTATGGAGGTGGCTGGGATCTCCATCAGTAGAAGCTGAGGAACATCTGGGTACTTATTTCAGTGCTGTTACTATTACTCTTAGGCTAGGAGGGAGATCTGAGCCTCTCCTGCTACAATTTAAATTCGCTCTTCTTGACTGATCTTAGCAGACACGGAAGATAGTTTGCTCCTTTCCTCTGCAATTATCAAGTCTTCCTTCAGGCTTTCTTTTCTATACTGAAGAGCCAATATTCTTTTCAGTCTTTCATCACAAAACACATAATGCAGAGCGGGGGGGGCCTGCTACGTGGCTGCATGTCCCGTGTGGCGCACACTACGCACTGCTCAGCGTTGCTCTCCTCATTCTCTTCTGAGCCATCATCACATTCTTTCATTCTCCAATCCATGATGCACCCAATCACAGGCGCTGTCAGCAAGCACAGTAGTTGCAATACCCCAAAAATGGAAGTGTAGAGAGCCACTGCAGGGAAAAAAACAAAATTAAAAATAATTATTAGTCCAAGCGATACCGTAGCAGCAATAGGAAAAAAAAAAAGAACAAAAAAGTCCTGCTCTTCTCCATTGATCACCTCTCTGTTGAAGAACCCAGACCCCCTGGACTCACAGGCTGACAGGCAGAGCTCAAGGAGCTGGGACACCAAAGCCCACTCCATCAATTGGCCTCCCAGAGATTTGACATACTGGGCACATTTCCTTCAGCCTTTCTGATCCTGCACTAGTATTCCCTGAGCAGCAGCAGCAGCTCAACAGCGGGTAGGGCTTCAAAAGTGGGACACAGCAACTTCTTAGTGCCAGGGAGATTTATTCTGGCTAGGACAGACAGGAAAAGTTCTCACAAGCTGTATGTGTTGCACAGCCAGACCTGCCTTAGTCATCTCCTCTCCTGCCTTGCTGGGAGCTGCAGTTACATCCCCTCCAGCTGGGAAGCTCCAGCAAGGACAATCAGGCTGGGAAGGTGAGGACTAACCCATTTTGTGCTGAATGGACAAGTATGGAGGGAGGAGGAGGGGAGATTAGCAGCAAAAAACCCACAGCATTTGAGAGCAATCATGAAAAACTCAAACTGATGAAATTTCCCACACGCTAAAGACAAGAGAAGTGTCTCCATTGTTTGCTAAGGGAAAGCTGATGCCAGCAGACTTAGAAGAACTGTCCCCTCCTGTTACTGAGCAGTTCCCCCACCCTGCAATGCTTTTTCCACTTCCTCTCAGCAGCCCATGTGATGATTTAGGCATCGCACAGAAGGGCTGGTGAGTCATGGTGTGCCACAGCTCTGAAATAAGGATGTAGTTCTGAAACTGCCCCTCTCAGCACAGAGCACAAGTAACAGCACTGCAAGCAAAACAACTAAACTAAATTTTAGTTTGTCCCTCCCAAAGCATTTCTAGGTCTGGCCAAAGCAGTATAGCCAGGATTTACATCCAAATCAACTTAGTAATGGAGACAAGTTCCCAACAAGCCTTTCTTTCCTATCCAGTTGTAGCAAACCTCAGCAGGGCACCTGATGATACTTTCCTGGCTCTGGTTGCTGGCAAAAGAACCAAGAGGAACTTCCAACTCCAGTCTCCAAACTAACCCCTGTTACTCCCACAAAGGCAAACCCTGAAGTGACCCCACATCCCCTCTCATTATAGCAACTGCTGCAGCCAAGACAAACGGGTGGCATCACCCTCTGTGAACACTCCAGGAGCTGGTTTACTGTTGTCTGGTTATTTTTTAACAGAAGGTAAGAAGCAAGCCACTCTGTCATGTTTTGCCTCTTCTTGCTCTTCTGAACACTTAATCTTGGGCTCTAAACATCAAGTGCAAAGGCCAACTTGAATTAGGGAATGAAATTTATGGGGTCAGCAAGAGAAGAGAATGAAAGGCAGTAGCTACTACAAAACAGGGCCTCCTCAACTTATTGATCATCTTAAAAGAACATTCTTTCCTGAGGAGAAAAAGCCAGAACAATACCTATCAAATACCACCACAAGCAGACATGGCAGAAGTGGAAGGCTGGACAGAGCTTCTATCCCGGCAAAGGGAGCACACAAGGGCACAATCCTTAACATCTAATGTTCTACACATCTTGTCCTCAAAACTATCCTAAGCAATCACCTCATACAGCTGAGTTTTTCCAGCCCTGATTCTAACCAAGGTCTCCCAGTATCACCACACTTGAAACCAAGGTGACAATTTATGAAAAGCGCAGCCAGATTTCAAGACACAACAGGTCTACTCTCTCCTGCCTTCCCACAACACAATTAGGCAGTCATTTACAGAGCTACTGAACCCTCAGCTTCTTCCTCACCTTCTGAGGGTTTTCAGAAGCTAAGCAGCCACAGGCTGACTGCTCTCTCCACTTCTAGGTTTCATGACAGGTCTAAGTCACCATAATCTGCACAGGAAGAACTTTCACAGCTTTTCAGAACTGTGCCTCGCTGCAACTTAAAGGCATTGCTACCTATCTGCATGATTTCCCCCACATCCTTCTCTCCTGTTCTGCTCCCAGGAACGCTGAAGTTTTCTTTGACCATAACACTTGCAGGATTTGACTCAACTCCCTCCTTCCCTTGCTCAGTGCTCCCGAGGGCGGCTGCAGGTGGAGGGAGCTCTCTCAGCACATCACACTCAAGTAAATAAATGTGAGAAGGACCAGGGAGATCATCCCATCCTCTCCTGATCCACACAGATTCCATTTCTAGGGAGCTGCACGCGCCTTGGAAGTGCTCTTGCAGCCTGACACTGCTGCGAGTAGACAATACCACTGTTTTGCTGATGCCATGGAAACACCAAGACAGCGACTGCACTGCATTGAGCCCAGGCTAATTCAGGGGGAGGAGGGGAAAAAAAAAAGGAAGAAATCTTAAAGGTGGCACAGAAAAAATGCAATATACTCAAGGGGCACAACCCCTGTTCTAGCACAGAGTTTGATCTAAACAGAATTGGCAGCTTATACAGTTAGTATTAATTCTAAAATTCCAAGGAGGGGAGGAGAGGAAAAAAAATGAAAGAGAAATAACTGGAGCAAGCCAGGGTAAAAATAAATAAATAAAAATAATAAAAAACCCCCAGTGTCAGAGTTACAAGGTAAGCAGAAAACTAAGCACCTTTGGGAAAGGTAGGCAGTGTGAAGTTTGTCCTGTTTACTGTTTAATGTCTAAATTGGCTCCCGAGCCAGGAGATAAAGAGCTGAATGCTGCAGGCTGTCAGAGGCTCAAGAAACAAAGCAATTCAGGGAATGCCAGGGCACTTGGAGTTTCCTGAGTTTCCTTCCCTCCCCCAAAGCTCACTCCTGTTTTCAGAGGAGTGCCTCTTGATTTATCAGCTCCGTGCAATCCAGATTGAACAAGTTCAAACTGGATCTTACTACAAAGGACAAAAACAACTTTAGGAAAAAAAAAAAAAAGTCTTAAGTCTTGTTTTGCAACCCTGGGTCTTTTGAACAACAGTAAACTAATGTACTCTTTCCTGTTTGCTCCATGTGCTGCATCAGAACTATAAATACAGACGAGTCCAGTGCAGGGAGCACCCCGAGCCTCCCCAGCACACACCAAGCTGCACAAAACAGCTCTGACTTCACTTCTCCCACCCCCAGCTGCTGGGCTGAGCCACCGAGTCCAACCATTAGTCATGAGAGTCAGCTGCTCTGCACTCTGTGCTTGCTTAGGGTAAGGAGAGCAAATACCTGATGAAATAGGTTTTCCAGTGAAAATAAAAATTATCACAGTCCACCCTGAGAGGCTGCTTTCAACAACCTACCCGGGGAAATAACATGGAGCAGTATTTGACAGACACAGGGCTAAAATTAGGTTGACATTCAAGTGTCTGCCTCGCTGCCCCTCTGTCCTGGGCTGGTTCCAGCCCTCGGCTGGACCCTCCCAGTAGCTGCCAGTGCACTCGGACACCACACACGGTGTATCTGCTGAGTAATCAGGTTCACTGGCCTCTTGTAAGGACCAAGCCTGGGGCAGCAACCAGTTCCAAGGAAGCAGATAAAGAAAGGTCTTCAGAGATCCCCCTACCTTGACTTGGGTCTCCAGACAGAAACTCGAGGATGGTGTTCATGGCTCCCATGTAGAAGATGAGCCGCAGCTGAGTGACACACATGGTGATAAGGCTGAGCAACAAGATAGGGCTGAAGACACTCTTCATGAAGGAGGGAGAAGCTGCAGAAGGAATAACAGAGTCTGAAGAAAGCAATATACCTCGGTAAACATTTACCATTTCAGAAGAGGCTTCCACCTCTGGCCTAGCAAGTCTTCTCCTCAATAGTCATTCCAGCACTGTGTGCCAGTGGCAGCTCCAAGAAGTTCATAGTTAACTACCTGGTAGCTTACAAACTTCCATAATGAAGAGCTGTGGATGCTTGGAGTTTGAGTGCCAGTAACTGGGGCAAGGAAGCAGGAAAGAAGACTTGCCTGATTCGGTGGATTGGAACAAAAGGAAACTTCAAACCATTTGCTTTCACCATCAAGGCCAGGTTGGACAGGACTTTGAGCAATCTGAGCTAGTAGGAGATGTTCCTACCCAGGGCAGGGGGATGGAATTAAATGATCTTTAAGGTTCCCTGAAAGTCATACCATTCTATGATGGCAACAGTCCACCTAAGAGACAGCAGTGACCAACTGCCCTGTCCTCCTGCAGCCACACCCATTGCCATGGTGGTGTCCCCACCACTGGCTACTCCATATGTTGTATTTAGGCAGGGATACCAGGACAGGATTCCTTATATAACTGAACTCGTGTTTCCGTCAGGGTGGCTGGCACACGGCCCTGGCAACACCTGGATCACGTATCACTCTTACAAACAGGTCTGGAGCAGAGCAGAGAGGCCAATGGGCTTGTGCCAGCACAAGCATCCCTGGGGCACTGAGGGAACCACACCTGCACTGTCAGGCTGGCACTTCACTTCCAGGTCCACTGTAGACAGGCAGAGCTTGTTGTTCTCTTGCAAGGCTGCCGGCTCCTTGGGGCCCTTCATGGAGCTCCCCACGCTGAGACGGCGCCCCACAGTCGTCACTTGCTTGTAAAACTGCTTCCCGGTGATCTTGTGGTCAAATCCCAGCCAGCTGAACTTTATTTTCACCCTGTTGGGTAGCAAAGGGCATGAGAGCTGCAACACAGGGTGAGGAACCTGAGGCAGCAAAGTTGCAAGAGTCAGAAAGGCTGTTTGTGGATTTAAGGCACTAGTTTCCATCTACAAACCCACACATGGTTTGGATCCAGAGCACATAGAGATACTTTCCCCAGGCCAATTTGGCACAGGTCAATGTAGGAATGCTTATGACTATGGACAGATTATTTTTCCATAATTCCTATGCTTTGGAAAGTTCCACTTTCCACTGGTATTCACCAATAAAGACATAATGGTAATGGCAGACATAAATCCTCAGCCTAAGAGGTGGCAGCAATAAACAACATGCAAGGGAGTTCCCTGTCCTCTCCTCCAAGTTCTTTGTGCCAGCACTTTCTAGAGATTTAAGAACAGGATTAGCCCTCAAGGCCAGGATAGAGGGAACTTACGAATAGTCCATGTCTTCTGGTCCTGGGAAAGGCTCCAGGGGCCAGTTGAAGAAACAGTTGAGGAAAACAAGTCCTGCACAGCTTGCCCAGACGAGCAGAATAAGGATGAAGGAGACCCCAAAGTCGTATATAACCTGGAAATCACAAGGGAAAGTGGTTTTGGCTATAAGAGTAGAAAGATCCTTCAATATTCTTTGAATGAGGTCTGAGAGGAACCGGTGGGAAAGAACATACTACATTTAAAATGGGTTAAACTCAGGTGGTAACAAAAAAAACAGTTTTGTGACAAGAACCTTCTTCCTGGAAAGCCATCAGGAACTTCCCTGCACACCTGAGATTGGTTTACCTTTATATATCCCCCTTATGCTAACCCTGCAATCAAACATCTCTGGTTCAGAACCAGTAGTGATCTATCCAGGCAGCTCAGGTGACTGTCTCTTGTCTTCTCAGTGCCATTTGCTAGCAATAAATTATCTTCAAAGCCAACCATTGGTGACAATCACAGAGGTTAAGTGTACATATGTGGATTTAAAAAAATACATATACATGGCTCGGAGATTGAAAAATTTAAGATCTTTTTTTAAGAAACTTGTTACTTCAACTTAGCACTTTTTAAATTTTCCTATTTGCTGCATTCTCGAGGTAGTCACTTGGGAAGCCTTTAATACAGACAGGAACTGAATCTTGCAAATGCACATCTCTAAAAAAGTGCTTTAGCAAACAGTCCCTCTTTCTTGCCACATTATTGCTAAATGGTGCAAGACGCCAGCACACCACCCCCAGTCACGAGTCTTGATCCCATGGCCTCACCTTGATTCCTGGAAAAGTCACAGCAGAGGAAGCATAGGAGCCAATCATCAGAGCAATGAACGTGGAACGAAGGTCACCAAACATGTTGGGCAGCTGGGGAAAGAAAAAATCGGTTGAAACAGGTTGGTGCCAAGGGAACGAGGCTTTCTTGGGACAATATCGGCATTTAGGATTAAGGCTCCTGGATACCAGAATGTGAAGCAGCCAGTTTTACTCAGGAATGACTTAGCTCTTTAGGATATTACTCTGCAGGTTGCACTGGTGTCTCCAGTGACAGGGAATGTCTATAATCCAAGATTTATGTACTCAGTGACACTGCTTCTTTCCAGACTGACAGCATAGTTTGCATTGGTCACCTTTAGCACAGGAACGTGTGCTCCAGCTCTTGCACTTTCTTTAAGAGCTCCTTACCCAAAGTCTGCAGCCACCACCTCTTCTCCTCTCCAAAAAACCCGAGCCCAAGTTCTCTGTGCATCGCCCTCTTTTTAAGTCAAAAGTTGTTAGACACAGCCCCTGATTGCCACAGTCTAACACACCCTGCAACACCTTGAACTGCCAGGTTTGTTTATGCACCTGGGGTCAGCATCCAAATCTTTCCAGCAGACCAGAAAGTTCCTGTTATAACAAGAAGGAACAGAGACAAACACAAACGGTGCTGCTGTTTGCATTTCCATTTCCAGCTATCTCCATGGCTCCTTCTGTGAGAGCAGACTCTACCTAAAGCTGATAATTTCTGCATCATTTGGATGGCTCAGATGCCCAAGCACCCTATATTGGAGCTAGGTGCAGGAAAGCAATCACAAACACTAGATATCCAAGGATTTATTGCTCAGCACAGCTACACAGCTGCTGCACTCTGTAGCAAGCAACAGCACCTCATGTTGCCATTCCTGCCACCCGCCCCACTTCACTGCCTGGGCTCCCATCAGGTGTGTTGGCATTGCTGGGAGCAGACCAGGCTGGTTCTGCAAGGATCTGTTGGGAAAGCAGACAGATTCTTGGTAGGGACAGCTAGAAGCAGCTCACAGCAGCCACTTCTGCCACCTCAACAGGAAAAATCACTCCCAGGCTGGTTCACCAGCCCCTGCTTCCACTCAGGACCCAAAAGCAAAGTGAAAAAGGCAGAAAGAGCTGGGAGACCTTCCCACCTCTTTTCAAAGGAGGAACTCCCTGTTTTCCTAAACAATCAGCCATGAGAAAGTTTCCATCACTCACCAATGATGCCCTGGAAACTGAAAATTACAGGGAGAAGCTTTGAAGTTGTTGGGCTACAGAGAACTCGGCTGATACCTCCTGAATCTGGTCAACAGGCAGAGATTCTGCTGCAGGCAGGCAGATTTCCCTCCCACCTCCTTTTTTTGGGTCACTTACTCCCCAAATTCACTTGAGCATCATTACCCATCAGCCTCAGAGGACCTCAAAGCAGGGCACTGCAGATGCCTTCTAGGACTGAAAGCACAACCAGCATTTTATCTGTGTAAAGAGGCCACTGCACAGAACAATTCAGAGAACATGAGACCGAGCCTGAGCAAGCAAATGCTGCCATCACATTCCCCTTCCACCGCTGAAAAACAAATCCATCTTTCCCAGGAGCAGCATATAAGGCAAGCAAATCTGGCTTGTGTCACGGCAGGAGCGGCGTGTTTACAACGCAAGTATTCCTGTGCAGGCACACTCCAGGATCCATCTGGCTGTTTATCATCCCTGTGTCCCACTGCAGAGCTTCCTATGCACTGCAGCCTCCAGGTCCTCAGATAACCCCGGCCAGGGAGCAGCAGGAATGCTGTGCCGGTGAACCCCGGGCAGAAAACGCTGCACTGCTCTGCAGAGGATCCCCACACCCATCCCAGATCCCCGCATGCGGGAGAGCTGCCAACAGGCTGCTCTCGGGAGCTGCAGGCAGGAAACGGCAAAGGATCCAAAGGTCTGTTACCAGGCTCGAAAAAATCTCTCCTTGGAAGCAGTGGCCTAAATACACACCCCAGGGAACAGCATCTGCAGAGGATACGGCGTCTGCAGGCTGCAGAAAGGCTGGTCGCTGTCACTGGGCTGGGCATTCGCTTCACCTCGAACACCCCACACCTAAAACGATCTCCAGAAATGACAACAAGCAGCTGCTCCTGCTGGGGAGCTCGGGGCAGGGCAAGGGCTCCACAAACACAGCTGCTTCTTGGCTCGGGGTGGTTCTCCCCAGAGACCCAAAACACCACAAAAAGCCCTTTTCATACAGCAGACAAGCAATTCCCAGGTGGATCCTCCTGCTCTGAGGGCTACTGGAGACACAGAACAGGCAACTATGCCTGGGAAAACCCAAGTCTGCTTCTGCCTTGACGGGGACAGAAGTCCTAGAAAGGCTAAAGATTTCCTAAAATCCAATTTGGCACCAAGCAAGCAGCTAGACTTAAGAAAAAAAACAACAAAAAAAACAAACCAAAAAACCAGAAGAGATTTAAGGTCTTATCCAACCCTATCAAAACAGAAACTGCAAACACTGAGCACTTGGAAGGAAAGGAAATATGAGACTACCTGGAGGGGCAGAGAGGAGGTGAAGGGAAAAAGTAGTCCATACCCAGACAGAAAACCTCTCAGACTGTGAATGCCAGCACTGGCAGGGCCTGGGCAGGTCTCAGCTAAAGACCAGCTACTAAAATAACACACAGTATTTACCAAGTCATTTTTCATGCTGTCTTTATAGTAGCAAGCACTGGAAAAAATGAACCACGGGGAAGAAAAAAAAACCCTACAAAAAACACAAGCCACAGAGAGCAAGTGGGTTCTTTGTTTTTCTGCCACCAAAAAGATCTGATCCTCATTCTGTCTTATCTCTGCAGAGTGACTCCTCCACTAAGTTCTGCCCATTCTGGTATGACAGCTCCAATTCTGCAAGACCTATGACGACAGAAACTCTTCAGCCTCCTGTTTAAAGGTCAGTAACACTCAATGTACTATTAACTTCATGTCCCGTCAGAAAGACACTAACTGAATGTTTCCATATGTAACTCTTCCTGGAATCCTTTATTGCAGGTGTGTAATTCTACACTGATAAATAATTTCCTCTTGCAGATTATTTTCTCATCTGCCCTATAGTGAGTTTGAGATCACCTTTTATAATTTTCTCAGCTTTTTCCTGGAGATAATCCATATGCAGAAGATACCACAGTAGTACTACCAAACCCAGTTTCCCTTCTCTTGCAAGGACTGTTTGAAAAACAGTGGAAGAAGTCAAGGGATTGAGAACCTGACTACTGGAGAATGGTATTTTTGTTCAATTAAACTTTGTTTTCCCTGTCGGGGGTGTATTTGGAAGTTATACAGACACTAAAAATATGTTCTCCAGGAAAGCTTCAAACTGCCTGCTTTGCTCAAAGCATATGGAAATTCTTGTTCCCATTCTCCAACAAACAAAAGCTCAGAGAGCCCTAAGTTTTCCTAATATTTCCAAGCAGATTCCCTATACAGAGATGTTCCCCCCGCCTTGATTATAGGGGGTTGTTTGTAGCAGAAAATAAAGAGCAAAGCAGCTGTAATTCTTTGAAAGGAAAACAGGACAGAGAACAATCTATAAAAGGCTCTTTGTGGTAATTTATCACACATGTTTATTTCTTTGCATGAAATAGCTGCGGAGCAGGACCAGCGCCAGATCCCTGTGTTGCTGTCAGAGCCACCAACACAGATCTGTTTCCATTTCCAATCTTCACTTATATTGGCTAAGACCAAGTCACGAGGCAGAAATCTCCCCTCTGCATTTTAACAACAGGCACAGTCTGACCTTGTTCCCAGAACTGGGAACTGCACCGTTTGCTCGCTCCCCCTCCTCCCCAAGCCACAGACAAGGCACCCAGAAACGGCAGCTTGTTTTGGCTCCACAGCCTGCCATGTGCTTTCATGATACCCTGGGGACTTGTCACTGAAAAAGGCTTTTAAACTCAAGAGGCAAAGCTTTGTGCAGTACTGTCCCAGGCTCTAATCCTCAGAGATCCCATTTATCTCTTGCAGAGGCACTGAGGATCCCAGTCTCCTGCCCTGCCACCAGATCACGCCACGCAGGCGGCCCAGGAGGTTCCAACCCCTGATGAAGCTCCCCGGGTGAGCACCCCAACCCCACACACTGCAGGGGCTCCCTTGTGGACACCCGGCCATGAAACAGCGACCGTAACCCACCCGGGGTGGCAGAAGATCAGCTCATGCACCACTGGGACTGACCCATTTCCTGGAGCACTTCAGGCCACTGGCAGCTGGCAGGGGAAGGGAGTCACCTTGCTGTGACTTGCACGTGTGTGCTTGGCAGCCAGGGCCTGTGTCAGCCAGAACGAGCTCCCTTGGCACCAGGAGCTGCTCAGGGCTCACCACCCTGGCAATGAACGTCCCTACAAAGGTCTCTGAGCCTCCCCCTTTCAGTGCTTACTCCAACCTCTCCTGGGCACAACGCAGGGCACAGTGTGTACGAGCCACGTCACCTGCAGCCAGCAAGCCGTGGAGCTGTCATCCCTATGGAATCATGGCATATGCTGAGTTAGAAGGGACACCCCAGCAATCCCACCATGTGCCTGAGAGCGTTGTCCAAATGCTCCTTGAGCTCTGTCAGGTTTGGTGCTGTGACCACTGCCCCGGGGAGCCTGTTCAGTGCCCAACCACCCTCTGGGTGCTTGATACCCAACCTAAACCTCCCAACTCAGCTTCATGCCATTCTCCCTTGTCACACTCCCTGTCTCTGTGGGCCACAGCTGGAAGGAGCCCACAAGGTATCACCGTGTCACCACAGAAGGTGGCTCTTGGCACACCAACTGTGAGCTCCCCAGCTTGCAGGCAGAACCACACAGTGATCTGCCAACAACCAAACTACAGCTGCTTCCAACCGTCACCAGCACAGCTACGCTGTGATGCAGGTGAAGAAGTGCTTCCCTCCCACTTTAGATTATTTTTAACCACGTTCACACGCCTCAGGTACCAAAATGCCTCTGTGCAGCTGTGCAGGGCGGCACGAGCAGCTACATCTGACTCTGGGTTGGAGAAGGCAGGCCTGAAGCCACCTCAGCTCTCTATAAAACACACTGATGTCTGGAGGGGGTGGGCTCCACCTGAGGCCTCCCTGTGTGATCTCACAGCATCACTACTTGCTTCAGACCTCCTCAAGGCTTGGATCTCTTCTGGGCAGGTCTGACCTTTTTCCTGCAGTTCCTCAGCACTGCGGAACTGGCTCACTAATGAGGGCACTAATAAGTGCCTTTGCTCACTTCTTCTGGTGCTAAAAGTACACACAGTACAGCACATCCAATATATTTCCTCCTTATCCTTGCCCTCACTCCCATCATCACCAGTGGTTCTAAAATAATCTGTGACCCCTTCATAATCACCCAGAGAGACAATAACCAACGCTGGCAGCAGCAGGGTGGGAATCCTCCCCTCTCCCACAGCAGTACTGATGTGCTCCTCTCTTCCTTGCTTTTATTTGAAGCGTGGCAGGATGACATTTGCCCCACAGTTCCTTGGGACCACAGTGAAGAACACCCCATACAAAGGAGAGAGCAACATCTGCACAGAGTTTTGAAAGCTTTGAATACACGAAGGCAACAGCAGCAGCAAAATCACAGTACACAGAGTGCTCTCGAAACCCAGCCTCTGCCAAATTTAGGTCTCAGGAGTTCAGCCAGTGTCTAAGCCTTGTTCAGCCAGTGCCTAAGCCCTATTAAATTAGTGGTAACTTTAATAGGAAGTTTTACTTCAACAGCAAAGTTCAAGGTAGCGCAGTCCACATCTGAAAGTTTTTGACCACAGCTCAAAAAACATCAGTGCTTCCCAGACTTGTTTTCTGGGCGACTTTCCACGCAGCCCTGTTTCAGCCATGCTGACAACAATCAGGGTAATGAGGCAGAAAATAAAGCAGTTATTTGGAGAATGATACTGCTTCTGCCTCCAGGCAAAAAGAACCCCAAAATGTAGAGATCCAGCTGACAGTTGTTGACCAAAGCTTTCCATACAATCCATAAACTAAACATATCCAAGAAGGCTGCACAGATGGAGCTGGACACATTCAACAATGGAGCATTTCTAAGGAAACCTGCAAAGGACTCTCACCCTTCTGAAAGCAAAAGCTTTTTGTGCTCAAGAACAACCATTCTCCTGAGGCAAGATGCAAACTGCACTTGCAGAAAGCTGGTCATACCCAGCTGCAAAGGGTTTGTGCCCTGCTGATTCCTCCTGCAGTATGTCAGTGCTAAATCCAGTGCAAACACATGTCCAGCCTCTGCCAAGTAGCTGAGCACTGCATGTACAGGCATATGACAGTGTGAGTCCTAGACAAAAACCACTTCCTTTTTACTCCCCAAGCTTCACCTGAGATACAAGAGGCAGGTGAAAAAACAGGACTGGGGAAAACAAGCCTTAGAATAACAACCTAGTTCTCAGTCCCAAGGGTGACTGACCCTTTGTACCAAACACAAACACGTGCTATTCAAGCCACGGGCAGAAGATCCACTTTGCTCTTTCCTGCCAGCCCAGCTCACAGCCACAGTAAGGGACAGAACAGTCAGGTAATAACTCTTCACTTACCGTGAGCGATGTGAAGGTCATGCACATCCCACCAAAGCCATTCAGAGCCAGTGCAATGAATATCAGCACAGACAGAGCTGCAACAATAAAAAACCTGCCCTTAGCTTTCACTAGGGTGGGGAGGGAAAGGAGAAAAGAGCCCTGAGGGCTTTGGCCCTGACACACAAAACCAGCGGATCAACACCCTCAGGACATGTCACGCTGTTCTTGACCCAGCACCCATCTCCCCAGCCACATAGACCAGGAAGGACAGGGCTTTCCTCCAAAACAGAGTTCAGGATGGGATCATCTTTCCCCAGAATGGAAGGGTTTCTTTTCTCTAAGGAAAAGAATTGCTGATTCAGCTTGTCTGATGGGTCTTAAAAGGAAGATTTACTTGAAAGAGCTGGATTCAAAGTGTCATGTCACTATCTGGTCTTGAGGAGCAAGCTCCATCTATCCCTGGCAAGAAAACAATCTACACATTGTGTGCTATTACCTATTTCCCAACCCTGAAAAAGCCATGAACTTGTTTGCAATTACTCCTTTACAGGACCTGTCCCTGCCCAACCACAAAGCTAAGAGACCTGGGTATCTCAGACATTTGGCCCTTGACTGTGCTCTCCACTTTAGTGTTGTGAAACATCAGCCCTCCCCAGAGCCACTTGGCTCCCTCAGGCTGGCAGAGGCTTGGCTCGTGTCCTCAGCAAGACCCTAGTGCAGCACTGGGGGTGTGACAGCCCGAGCACACTTGTCTGCTTCCCCAAAAACCCCAAGCCACAGCCCCAGAGTCCTCCCGGCTCAGCAGAGAGACACTGACTTACAGTCTGGGTTACTGGCACCGTACGCGATCAGCACACAGGACACAGCAAAGCAGGCACTGAAAGGGAACCAGACCCATGAGTTTCTCACAGACAGCCTTAAATGCAGTAAAATTCATCTGCCTCCTTCTCCTCAGCGCCTCGTTAAGCAAGCGCAGTGTAATTTCTGTGAGAGGGAGGGAAGCTGGCAATCTGGGAAGAAAAATCCAGGGAAATACCCAAACGTTACAGACAAACAAATATTACAGGCAAGCCTTGCACAAGGGCTGAGGCAGGAACCTTTCCTCCCAGTAATGACGCAGCTCTGCCTGGACTCAAATTCCCCGCAGAGCTTTGCCAGCCCTCACCCCGAGGTGACCAAAGACAGCAGCAGCCTTTGTCTTGAGCCCCAGCTGTGGTCACAGCACTCACAGCTCCTCTCTGGTAGGGTTTGAGTCAGAGACTTGCCCTGTTTTTCCCACTCTGCCTACAGACCAGTTTGGGTTCTGATCAAGTTCACTGCATTAAAATCGTGACAATTAAAACAGTGCTGGGGTCCACTGAGCCCAACAAGTCACTAATCCCTACATGCCATGATGGAAGCAGCTAAGACCTTGTTATTTAAGGCATAAAGCAACATACACCACATGGAAGAGAAGGGCCCTAGAAAAGGCAACAGGATCTGTTTGTTCCCAAGTTAACTCCCCAGCCTGCAAACAATGATGTAACATCTTGGTTTTGTGCCTCTCAGGACACAGCTCCCAGCTCAAGGAGAAAGCTCCCCTCCATGACTCACAAATGACTCTCCCTCCAGGCTCCATCTGGACGGGGATCACAGAGCAACACTGGAGAGCAGAAGTGTGGACATGGAGTTCCAGGCCCTTCCCTTATGGAGCAATTCACTGTGCTGGCTGAAAACATCCCAGCCCTGTGCACGGCCACCAGCTTCCAGCAGATCCCATCCCTCACACTCTTCCCAATGCTGCAGGGACACCACAACAGGCACAGCACCCAAACAGCACCCATCTGACCCAGACAAAGTGGGAATTCACCCCTCAGCCCACCCGGGGAGCCCAGGGCACCCACCTGCCAAGCAGCCGCAGCTTGCGAGGGCCGTACTTGTCCATGACAATTCCCAAGGGCAGCGTGATGGCACTGAGCAGGAAGGACCCGATGGTGAAGGCCAAGTTCAGCATTTCATCCTGGGCGTTGCAGGAAGGCCACTTGTGCTCTGAAGCTGTGCTGTTCTCGTGTTCAGAGCTGTTGTTGGTGTCCTCTATATGGGGTGAGAGAGGAATGTGCATTAGGATGGGGTCTGCAGCATTTCAGGAAGGAGGGAAGAGAAAAGCTCCGCACACGGGGTGGCACAACACGCTGGGCATACAGCCTCCACATTCCATCTTTTATTATAATCAGTGAGAAATGGAGAAGGAGAGCAGCAGAAGGACAAGGGAAACCTGAGCAGGAAAAGGATGCACAGGCTCCCAGGGGATAGGCATCCCATGCAGCAGCAGGATAAAAACCTAACGATGGAGATTCATTAATTTATTGAAACAACTATACAGCGAGGGCCTGGCAATTACAGGGGACTAAACCCAGCAGAACCTGAAGGGACTAACACAAAAATAGGTTCCTCCTAATTTACAGCTGTCATGTTCTCATCACAGATTTTTCCCTAACAAAACTAGTGACAGCTACAGTCAAATCAGTTATTTTGGTTCCAGACACTGGGCTGACAAGGCCTGGCACTGAGCAACAGCCTGCTCAAATGAATAGCTTCCTACCCTCACTGCAGGCATCAGGATGAGGAATGGCTTTGCAGTAGCCACCCTGCTTTGGCTGCCCTGGCTCTGAAAAATCCTTCCTGGATTTAACTACCCTGCTCCCAGGAGGGCTGGCAGCTCACCTGCCTTCTCCATTTGTTAAAGGATTGATGCATCTTTAACTCTTGCCCCATAATTAGCATTTTCTATTCTTTCAAAGCGGGTTTAGGTCGTACAGATCAATAATAACTCCAGCCTTCTGTTCTTGCCCTTACATGAGGAACTCTGCACGCAAACTCCCACGCTGAACAGAGCCCACGTTGTGTAACCGAGACAGAAACAGGACAGTTTAAAAAAAAAAAAAATGAAAGGAAAGAAGTTCCCTTTTACTGCCTCATGTCAACTCTTCTCCTGTTACATGCCTATCCCAAGGCTGCTTACAACTCCTTGAGTGAGTATGTGTGCCTTTAGACTCTCATCAACCCACAGCTCCAGTGCACTCCACCTCTCCTTCTCCCAACACTTATCTGACTCGTAAGTAACCTTTGCTGGTATGACAAAGCACTTGCTCTCTTGCTGCTGCAAGCCAGTGATATAAAATACTCTCCTCCATATTTAATAACTCGTCTGACAAAGTTCAATATTAAAGGAGGAATAGGGAGAGAAGTCACCTACATAACCATCAGCATGCAGTGAGACTAGAGATTCCCAGTGAGCCCTGGTTAGTTAGTTAATTAGCAGGAATCCCTCACGTACAAGTGATTTCAGATTCACTGCTTGGTGTGGCTCGTAGAGGAGATTCCCTTGGCTGCTCTTGCCCTCCCTCCATCTCTAGAGATCACACAGCCCCATCTTGCAACTCCTCCTGTTCTACCCAAGCCTCAGCACCACTACAGTTACTGGCTGCACCCTGCCTCTCCCAGCTGCCCAAAACCACCCTCCCAGCTTTGTGTCCACTGTAAACAAACCTCACTCCACCTTCCAGCCATCAGGTATCAGCAGGAATTCAGCTGATATCCAAGGCTTTTGAGCTGCCTGCAAACCTTCCTCTGTCCCCTCCCAGCACTCCAGGGAAGGCAGAGGCATTTCTCTCCGTGTACATTGTTCCCACCAACATCTTTGCTAAGATGGTCTCAAACTGCCTTCAGGCAGCAATGACTGTTCCTTCCCACTGCCATGTGCTCCTGGTTGATAATTTAATCTGTCCCTTCTCTTGCCCTGCTACTCGTGGATAGTCTGAGTAAGCAACAAATATCCCCAAAACACCACATGTCCCACCAGCAGCATCACTTTGGCAGGGAGGGCAGCACTGCAGCCTGAGGTTCCCAAGTCACATCCTTAGAAGTCTGTCCTGGACAGACTTGGGAGGCTCTCTGCAGTTTTCACGCTACATCTCAATCTTTTTCATCCATCTTTCCCTCACAGTCTCCTCTTGGTGTGGTCCAAGATCTTAAATACTGACTTGAGACAGCAGCTCTGTAAGGCAGGCACAGGCTCACAGCTTCACCCACAGCATCAAGGCTTTTTGGGCTCTCCACAAAGATAAATTCATAGGAAACAGATGTGGGTGAGAGGTTAAACTCGGGAAAACAAGGGGAGAGGGAGAATTGAGAAAGTAGTAGCAGTTTCTCTGTGTCAGCACTGTACAGAGATAGCTCAGCTGTGGAGTGGAAGAAGGGTGGAGGGCCATGAACAGTGCAGTGACCTTTTAACTCCTGGCTGCGTGTGTTAAAGCATCTGTAACCCTCCACATTAAAAGATCTCAAAACAGAAATATTCAGTATTTAAAGCTGGAGTATATGAATTCCTGAAAGTGTATTGCTGTGTACAGCAGTGACATGATCCCAAGGAGCTCCCACACACACCTGCAGACCCTCCAGTGACACTCACGGTGGGCACCAACACCAGGAGGTGAAGAGGGCACAGCTCAGAAACAGCAAGGAAACTTGGCCCTCTCCAAAGACTTGCTGCAGCCAGGAAGGCTTGGAATAGGGCACAAAACTCCAGTCCCTGCCTGTACCAACCACCTTGTTTACGGCTGCTCAGTGCCAGCTCCAAGGAGGGGCCAGGCAACAGTGCTATGTGGAAATACAAATTGTTTGTGAAAATAGAATCAGCCTCTGAGCAACAAGAGAAGATCCACTGAGGCGTAATGGAAATGATTCAAGCAGTCCTTGGCACCCTGACATGCTCTGATCCTTGGAGCCACCTCCATAAATAGAACATTTTGGAGGGGCTGCAGGTGTTTGCAGCACACACAAGGTCCAGCCAAGAGCTGTCTCTTCCAGCAGCACAGATTCAGGTGCCAGCAGGTCATCAGCACAGCAGAGTGAGTGACAGCACAGGACATGCAGGAGGAGTTTAATGGGCAGAGAACCTGCCTAACTACTCACCTACCTAAGGCACCTGGTTACAGCAAACAGCAGTTCCCTTCAATCACAGATCCTGTTCCAGATCAGTGCACGCCACACTCCTGGGGAAAGTCTCCTACGTGCCTGGCTCCCTCTGCAGCAGTGCTTTGGGGAAGGGCTGGCTCTGTGCCCACAGTGGTGCCCTCCCCAAATTCTCTTGCCAAGTCCACCTGCCAGGTCTGACAGGCAGGAGAGACACCCGGGCAAGGAGCAGCAGAGAGGCTGAGCACGCTCACCGCTGTCTCACCGACAAGCCAGAAGAAGCTGCAAGTCTTTACCAGCAATTACAAGAACATGCTGCCTATTTTTACAGCACTCCCCATACAAGCAGCAGGATTTCTACTGCCCAATTAGTAGTTCAAGTTACTATTTAAGGAATGACAGCTTAGGTGAGAACAAGGCTGCCTCGGTAATCATTTATGTCAAGATCATCGCTGAGATTTGTTCAGGCTGGAACATTTAAAGTCACCCTTTCTCCCAAATTAGGTGCTGTAGGTTCCATGAGAGGGTCAATCATTAACTACTCTTTACTGACCTCTTCAAATCTCAGGCACACACACCACATTACCAGAGGAACAAGTCTGGCTTTTTCAGGAGCGACTGCCATCTCGGATGGCAGAGAGGAGGTTTCCTTTCATCTTGTTTCATGGATCAGACTGTGCCAAGCAGGGAAGACACCCCCAGCCACCCTGGCAATAGCTCTGTGGAACCAAGCTTGCACACCCTCACTTTCCTCCTCTTTTTTTATATTAAAAAAAAAAAAAAAAGAAAGAAAAAAAAGGAGGGAAAAAGAGAGAAATTGGGGCCAAAGAACTGGGAGTACTGGTTAAAAAAAAAATATCACCATGAAAGACATGTGCAAACAACTGATCTGCAGTCTGCCCACATAAGAACATGTTTTGTCTTTTCAGGATGGTGTCATACTTCTGGGAACTGGGAGGAGATGTTCTTGCTTTCTACTGCAAATGCAATTTATTCGGGTTTCCCTGTCCCTCCACTTGCACTTCCAGGACTCTGGGCACCCAGCTGAAAACCCCACAGAGCCAAGGCACAACCTCCAGTCAAACTCCCTTCCTTCCCCAGCTGTGGTTTCCTCTTTGCAGCACCTTCCCCTGCAGCTCCCCCGGCAGCTGCTGATCGGCACAGTGTGTTTCCTGTACAAATTGAACATTTACCACGTTTTCTCTCTTCCTGTTTACGGGGTCACCTGTGCAGCCTTTCCACAAAGCGTTGCTGTATCTTCTCAGCTTGGAAGGGACCTTCAGACTGCAAATTCCCCATCACAGATTCCAAATAAGAGGAAAGAACTGCAAGGCAGCACCTTCCCCCTATGCCTGTGTTAAAGCTCGTTAACTTGCCATAAGTGAATTAGCTTATCATCCCTTTGGTATTCTGCAGCCCTGTCTTAGAGGAAAGCCCTCTGTGCCCCTTATCTCTGCTCTTTGTGAGCAGATTATCAAGTTCAGGACTTTTTTTTTTTTCAAACATGTTTCAGACCCAAGCCTTGAGCTTCCCAATCCCAGAAACATCACAGCAATGCAAGACCCTGAACTGATCAAATTCCCCAAGAGCTGATAAAGCCCAAATCCCGATAAAGACTGTGGAGTCAGCACTTGCACAGAATAAAAGATGCTGCATCAGTTGGTTAAAGGCCAAGTAGTAGTGTAGTAAAATTAAAATGGGAACAAAGTGCTACTACCAGACTCCTTGTCAGCGAATTTCAAACATACCTCTCAGGAGGTGGCCAAACTGGTACAACCCCCCACTCAAACCCTGTTGCACAACTGCTTTACAAATATTTGTTATTTTGGATTTTTTTTCCTAGGTGTCCACCTCCACCCTCAGGCAACTGAGTTAAGAGTCCATTGGACCCCACATTTGTACAGTGGCTGAGTAAAATCCAGCACCAGAAGCTAAGGGCAAGCAGGGAAAGTGGGTGATTCAATATGAAGACAAGGAGCCCTTCATGAACTGCAGCCACTTTCTGGGCAGCTGCTGTTACCTTCAGAGAAGAGCCTGCAGAAAGGACAAGGTCTAGTTTTCCCTTTCATTGGACAGCATCACAAAGTGCAAGAGCTTTTGCTGACAAACCAAAAGCCCTGCCAAGAACCTTTGGCTCATTAGGAAAAGTCTATTTTTTTTGCAATACTTACATGCACACAGCAGCATTAGGAACAACAAGTGCCCAAAGGCTACTAGTTATAATTTGTTTGCACCAGCCTTCCAGCCAAGCACCCACTGGCTGCAGGATTCAATAGGTTGCCCTGAAAAAAGGCAACCACTAGGGCATCCTAATCCCAGCAAAGGTCAAACTCAGCTTGAGGCTGGTCATTGAGAGCTTGCTCTCCCCACACTTGGAGCCAGGACCCCACCAAATCATTATAATGAGGACAAAAACAGAGAAAGGAAAGTGAGTAAGCATGGATGAATGTGCTGCTCATCACAAGTTCAGCAGTGATGGCCAGATATTTGAGAACAATTTGACCACATAAATTTCTTTTCAAGGTTTAGGTTCTCTTGCCTCAGGGCACAAGTTGGTCACTGGGAGGAAGCTATTACCCCCAGGGCAGAAATTTCACAGCAGTCCAAACATTTGCATTTTCCCTATGGTCTTCGGGCATTCCCACGGGGAGAGCCAGAAAAGCCACAGATTAGCAAATAGGGGTGAGAAGCCAAGGTGAATCTCAGCCATTTAGGACAAAGGCAGATGAACTGAGAGCCATCAAAGAGCAGGAGGTGGGCCCCAAGTGAAGCTCTTGCCAGCAGAGCACATCTCAGGAAGCAGACAGGCAAATGCCTGCTCTCAGAGACAGTCAGCATTTGCTTATCAGCTCTCATGTGCTTTATCTCGGTGGCAGAGAGTCTTCACCTGATGGGTTTAACGTGATCTCTTACACAGGCCTATGACAAAGTCTCCATGATTTGGAGAGCACAGCTCTGAACAGAAGCCCTACACAGCCTCCAGCTGCTGAGGACTCTCCTCACAGTCTGCAATGCTACTGGAGACCTGAGTGACACACTTGGAAGCACCGCACTGTGAGCTGAGCACAGGATGGAGATCAAGCAGCCAAGCTATGGCTGGTAGAAGACTCAAACATGTGTTTACCAGGTGCACCAGACCAGGCTCTACAGGACTTAGGCAGCCACCCTCAGGCACACAAAGCAGGAGAGATAACAAGCAGCTGATGAATGAGCAAAACCCAAAGAACCATCACAGCCATTCACAGTCACCTTTTGCTTGGACTTTGTTTCCCACACTTGAGGTTTCCCCCACTATTCTCAGCCATCACCCACTGTGGGTCCATGTACTTGTTTCCAACTCTTTTTCTTCCCCTACTGCTTCCTCCTCCAGCCCCAAAGGGGCTGATCCAGTCTAATCCACCACCACACATCTCTGGACGGAACCCAAACTCCTCCTGCCTCTCTTCACTCTGCTCTTCCCTTCTCTGAACACATGCAAAACTTCAGTCAGTACAGCAGCTTCCAAATCCACACCACACCTTTACCTTCAAGCTCCTTTTAACCTCACTGTCCACCCTACCACACTGTGGGATTCCCCAGACCACAATTCTCCCTGTGCCCAGGCTGGGGATATCTATCTACCTCCAGGTTGTTTTTCCCAGGGTTATCCTTCCCACACCACTATTGCCTCTTCCCTTCCAGGCTGTGTCTGCAACGTGGACAGATACTTCCTCTGCCTTGGGCAGAGAGTGAATCTCAAGCCCTCACAGAGACAACAGCCTGGTTTGAGCACATCCTGGGTGCTTGAAGAGGAACAGAACATCAGCAGCATTTACTTCTGCAAATTATTCTTAACAGCAGCACTGGACTCCTCTAATCTTATCGCCACTCACACTACTTTCCTCCCTACCACTAAGAACAAAGTGCCTGTATAGTTCCTCCTATAAACTCAGGACACCCTGCCCACCAATCATCATCCTCCAGAATCCATCCAGCCTTTCCCTGCAGAGGAAGAACTCACGGTCAAGTGGAAAAGGCCATCCAGAAAAGCTTTACTTAATCATTAAAGCTTCTTTTTCCAATCACTCTGCAGAGCAAGAGCAACTACAGGCACATTGCACCATCACAAGAATGCCACTGGTTTTGGAAAAGAGCACACATCCCTTCCTTCTATCCCAGCACTGACACTGAGCTCAGCCCTGCTGCAGCACCCTAAACCAGGGAAATCACACCAGCAAAGCTCAGCAGCAACTTATTCACACGAGACCCCAGAGCATCCTTACCTTGCCCATAGCACAGGTAGGAATAAAACCCTTCTGCCTTCAGCATGATGAGGAGGGACCCCCAGCCCAGCAGGACAGCAGAGAAGAGCAGGTTCTCGATGATGGCTGTGAACGCCATCCACCAGCGCCGGCGGTGGGCCGTGGCAAGTGTGGGGGCCATGGCTGCTTGGGGAGGTGGCCTCCTTCAGTCTCAACCTGCAGGGACCAGAACAACCTTCAGTGAGTCCACAGACACAGCACGTGCTGCACAAAAAGTGTTAAAATTGAGTACGGTTTGACAGGAAACCTCTCTAGAAGCACGCGAGCAAACCTGCCTGCTGAGTGTCAGGCACTCGGGTGTAAAACTGGTTTTTGCAGGTACCAGCTTGCCAAGTGACCTGGAGGGATGGGGGAGCACAGGTGCCCTTGGAACAGCCCCTCCAGTGGGCACTCCACATGACACAGGAGCGCTCAAGGACTCTGTTCCACTTCCTGAGCAACAGGTATGAAAATGCAGCAAAGAGCAACTGCCCCGAGCCCACCCCCCATCACCTGTACTGGGCAGGCAGCTCATTGATAAGGCAGTGAGGAAACACATGCCAGAGTGGGGGGGTTTCAGCCAGCACCCCAATCTCCCTGCTGCCAGCATGCAGAGGCTGGGACACAGCCCCACATCCCTAATAGTGGCTTTAAACTATCCAACAGCTCTGCTCTGCCCCCCATAGGGCACAGATCTGCTCTGGAATGTGAGTGAGGGTCCTAAACATGCAATTTATACCACCCATGGCTCATCAAGGAGTGCCTTTTGCTACCTGCCAGACCATCCAGCTGGGAGACAGATCACTGGCATCTCCAGGTTGCCCCACAGATGCTGTGGCCTGATTAACTGTCTCCACTTGTCCCAGCCCCTGGGTCCCATGGGAGCAAGCAGCAGATTTGGGAGCAGACCTGCATGGCCAAGGGGCAGCTCTGGGGAGCCCTGAGGTGGGGGGCAACCATTGGGTCACAAGGCACGTGACCATTTTAGAGAAGTTGAGGCTTTTCCCAGCCTGAGCACATCTCAATCCGGCACAATGGGGAAACCAGCTGGCCACACGCCCGGCCAGGACAGCTTCCCAGGGTTTTCCATGGGGCACAGGCCCCAGCCCGAGGTGCTTTGGTGGGATGGGGGTCTGACCCAGCTCCCTGCAGTGGTGCCCCTTCCAGCTACGGAAACTGGCTCAAAGACCCCTGCCCTAAAAGCCAGTCTGCAGCCGTGCCCCCCCCATACCCACCCACCCACGGCACAGGCCCCAGTGCAGCCCACGACGCGTTTCCTCCATCACCTCTCCTCCTCTTCCTCAACGCTGCACCCGCAGCCTCCTCCCCAGTCCCAGTACCCTTCCCCGGCCCAGAGCCCCTCTCTGCGACAAGAGGTGCATCCCCGCTCTCCCCCTACCAGCCGCCCCCAAAGCACACCCCATTTTCCCCAGCACACCCCACTGATGCTCTGCACCATCCCCGTGCCCCAGCTCCCCCGAACAGCCCCGCTGCATCCCGCTCCCCATGCAGCCCCCCCACCCACCACCACCCGGCTCTCCCCATCCATCCCCTCTCCCTCCGCTGCCTGCCATGAATCCCCCCATGCACCCGTGTACCCCTATACACCCTATTACCCCCCAATCCCCCTCTCCTTCTCCGCAGCCTCCCCCCCCAAAGCACCCACCGACCCCCTCCCGTGCAAACCCCTCCCCGATCACACCCCACGCAAAAACCTCCCCCGTGCAAACCCCACCCCGCGCGCCCCCCTGCGAGGCCTCGGCGCGCCCCGGTGCTTCCCCCCGGAGCCCCCCGCCCCCTGATAGCCCCCCTCGTCTCCCCGTACCCCCGAGCCCGCTCACCGCCGGTGCCGCGCCCGCTCCGCTCCGCGCCGGTCCCGCCCGGGCTTTTTATCCCTCCTCCGAGGCAAAAACAGGCGCCGCCGCTGATTGGCCGCCGCCCCGGCCAATGGGGGCGCGCGCCGGTGCCGCTGGGGCACGTGCCGGCTCGCGCGCCCCCCCTCCCGGGACCCCCGGGATACCCGGGACCCCCCCGGGATCCACCCGGGATCCAGCCGGGATCCACCGATATCTGCCCCCGGTACCCTCCGGGAACCCCCCCGGGACCCCTGGGATACCTGGGACCCCCAGGATCCACCCGAGACCCCCTGATACCTGCCCCCGGGAACCCCCCCGGGACCCCCGGGATTCATCCGGGACCCCCTGATATCTGCCCCCGGGACCCTCAGGGATTCCCTTGGTACCCCCCGATATCTCCCCCCGATACTGCCCCCTCGGTACCCTCTGATACCCCCCACCCGGTACCCCCCTGGTGCCCCCCCTCCCCCGATACCCACCGATATCTCCCCCGATACCCCTCGGGATCCCCCTGGTACCCCCGCCCGGTGCCCCCCACCCGGTATCCAGGTACCTTCCCCGATATCCCACTCCTCCCGTATCCTCCAGGTCCCTTTGCCCCGTACCCCCGCCCCGGGCCGCAGCTGGTCTCTCCCGGGACGGCCACACGCCCCCGGGACACAACACCCGCTGTGCGGGGCGGGCACGGGACACACCGGGGGGACACGCACGGACCCTCCGCGGGGACCGTGACACGCACCGGCACCGCCGCCTTCCAGGGAAAAGGGAGAGAAACGGGACGGCGGCGACGGCGGGAGGTGATGCGGGATGAGCCCCGCCGGCCGCTGCCCCGCCCGGCCCCGCGGGGTTCGGTGCCCTCGGGGCAGCCGGAGGAGCCGAAGGAGCCGCAGCGCTCTCACTGCGCGACAGCAGAGCGGCTCCTGCCCGCACAGCCCAGCCGGGCACACGGAGCCGTGTCGGTAACAGCTCCTGTGCTACTGCTCCTCTGCCGTGGTTACAGGCACTGGATCCATCCTGTGAACCCACCTGTCCTGCAAATCCCACCTGTCCTGCTCCCTTGATCAAAGAGGGAGCAGAGAAGCTGCTCTTCCCTCGTTAAAAGGCCAGTTTGGGAGCAGGCACCCAGTCAGCTCGTTCATAGAACCACAGAACAGTTTGGGTTGGAAGGAACCTAAAAAATCATCTAGTTCCAGCCCCCTGTCATGGGCAGGGACACCTTCCACCAGACCAGGTTGCTCCAAGCCCCATCCAACCTGGCCTTGGACACTTCCAGGGATGGGGCAGCCACAGCTTCTCTGGGCAACCTGTGCCAGGGCCTCACCACCCTCACTGGGAAGAATTTCTTCACAATATCTAATCTAACCCTGCCCTCTAGCAGTGGGAAGCCATTCCCCTTTATCCTGTCAAAGTCCCTCTTGAGCTCCCTTGGTGTCCCTTCACACACTAGAAGGTGCTATAAAGTCTCCCTGGAGTCTCTTCTCCAGGCTGAACACCCCCAGCCCTCTCAGCCTGCCTCCACAGCAGAGGTGCTCCAGCCTCTGATCCTCTTCATGGCCTCCTTTGGATTTCCTCCAATAGATGCGTGTCCTTCTCATTTTGGGCTCCTCACAGCTGGACAGAGCACTCCAGGTGGGGCCTCAGTAGAGCAGAGGAGAGGAGGAGAATCCCCTCCCTGGACCTGCTGGTCACACTGCTGGGGATGCAGCCCAATTTCATTAAATAAAAGTAAAATCATCACCAGCCACAAGAGCAGCTTCACACCCGAGCTCACCAGAGCTCTGCTCTCTTTTTCTATTAAATTTATTTTCACAGCATCCTTCTGTGGGATTTCTAGTCCTGCCATAAGCCCAGCCCTCATTAGTGAGGTCCTGGTCCAGAGGAGGTGTCCATGTATCCCTAGAATCATTACAGGGAATATTTTCTCAGCCAAAGGAGATGAAAATAGCACTTGGGGCAGGTAAACACCCCAGAGGAAGCAGAGGGACGTGTACCCACCACGGCACCCCTGCGAAAGGGCAGGCTGGGGTGGGTGGGAAGAGGAAACTCCTCAGCCTTGGCTGTGGGAGAAGGGTCAAACGCTTCAGCAGCTGGAAAGTGGATTTAAGCCAATGCAAACAAACAAACAAAAGCCCAAAGAAAACAAGGCAGCCTGGATCAGTGCCACGTGTTTAGCAGAGGTAGAGGAAGGCTGAGGCAGCACGAGACCCTGGGAGACTTGAGCACCCAGACCTGGTTGCTGTGTCCAAGAAACACAAACCGCGATAGGAGGGAGCACAAGGAGGGCTCAGAGGCTGTTTGAGGACACAGGAACCCTTTGCCACAGTGAGAGCATGGAGGGGGCTTGGGTGTCCTATCCTAGAAGGAGAAAAGAAGCTATCAGGTGATTCGTGATCAGCCATAAATACCCCAGGGACTAAGTAAACAGCATGGGGAGAAAAAAAATAAAGTGGAGCTGAAGAACAGTACTGACACAGAGACACATTTGTAGAAACTGGCCAAGAATGAGCTCAGGCTGGAAGGGAGGTGACAGCTCCTGCTCTGATGGAGCCACTGGAATAAATGACATGGTCCTCTTCAAATGCTTGGGAAGTTTGGCAATGGAGACAACAAGGCTGCAGGCTAAGGGACAGACCCCTGTGGCAATGAGGTACAGCTCAAGCCTCTGTTCCTACCTGTGAGCCAAGAGCTGCCCCAGCAGAGCACAGACACCTCTCTGCTTACAGACAGGCCCTGCACACGGATCACTTCCCACTGTCTGGCTTAAAACCACTGCAGCTGGATTTGGAAAGTCAGAGATCCAGCATGGGAAGACATCAAACCCTCCCTCGCCCGCCCGCTCTGCAGGTCTCCCGCATCCAGGATTAAAACCATGGCAAAGCCTGATTGGAAGCATCCCCGGCAAGAAGACACCAGCGCAGCCACGCTGCCGGTGTGTGCATGGGCAGCCACACGCTGGAAATCCACAGCTCGTTTCCCTTGCACCGCCCAGGGAGGGCGAAGATGCTTCATCTTCAAGCCAGGGAAACATCCAGCCTCGGGCTCAGCCCCTGAACACGAGAGGTTCTCGCAGCGGCAGCGTTCTCTCCTTTCAGCGGCAGGAAGGCTGTCAGGTTGCTGTCAGCTATTTACATGCTGTACCCAGGGCGAACCAGCTCACGTGACGTTCACTTCTGGCACAACACTGCTCAGCTCACAGGCTGAAAATATCCACCCGATTAGGGAAAAAAATGGCTGCTTGTAAATCCAACGTGGGACTGTCCCTGCCTCTGCAATAAAACTGTCAAAACAAAAACCAGCCTGTGCAGAGCAGAGGTCTGGCCAGGCTGCTGCTCCGGTCCTGCCAGGATGAGCAAATATTTTTACTTATATACAGGAATATTTGGTGTTACAATCGTGGCAGTGGGTGCTTCCACTGCAGGAAAGGGTGCTTCATGCTGGCTGCAAAATTGGAAGCCTCCCAGCCAAAATCAGGACTGTGGGGATTCGGTGCTTTGCACTGTGGAGAAGCACCCACGAAAAGCAAAAGGGTAAAAGCAAAACCTACTGTGTTTTCTGAAACACCCCAAACCCTGAACCCCAGCTGAGCAGTGCCAGATCAGAAGGAGACCACATGTGAGGTTCAGGCTGCAGTGTAGGTGCTCTGGATGCTCACAGCTCACTCACATTCCCCCTGCACTCCTGTCTCCAGCTCTGTGGAGAACTCGGCTCACTGAGTGAGAGTTCAGAACTCAGCAGAACCAGAACATGTTAAAAAAACCACCAAAAAACCAAAAGCCTAAGGCTGCCAACTGTTTCCACACTTTGGAGAATATTCCTGGCCATGTCTTTGATTCAGAGGGTGGTTGGGAAACCCATCTCCTGAAGGGGTTTGGTAACATTTAATTTTCACTCCAAGGCTTTCACGCCACGCGAAATAACAGAAAAATATACAATAAACCTTCTACCACTTAGATACATCTAAAACCAGATCAGGCTGCAAATCCTCTTTGACATCTCAACCGCCTTTACAGCAGGAACGAGGCGTGAGAGGTGGCAGGAGCTCAGGGGACCCGTAGAAATCCTGTTTTCCATGCAACTTTCATCCTTATCAGGACCAGCACGGCGCCAGGTGCACAAGTTGATGGGCACTGCCCAGCTGCCACGTTTGCTCTTGCACAACTGCAGCCTGGTATTGCGTGCAGTTTAAAAGGCCGTGGCTACACCCCATGCTGTGCCACAAGCCTTTCCATGGGCTACACAAGTACGTAGAAGCAAAGGCAGCCAGGGCCTGCCACAGAAGCCACACAGATAAACCCCTGCAGACCCAGATACCCTTTGAGATAAGCAGCTAAAATTAATTTTCTCTGAAGCTGCTCGTGACAGCCCATCATCTCTCCTCAGCCCAGCTCCACAAAATAATCCCCTTCAGCGAGAGGCACCTTTATAGCAGGAGGCTCCGAGCAGCATCGCTGGAATTGGGACAGGGAAAAGCAAAAGCCGATGGGGTGAAACTCTTTCCTGCCTGTGCATTTCCCAGCTGAGCCTCCAGCCGCCCTGCTCCTGTTTAAGAGGATGTATGTCCCCAGGCCCACTGCCGACAGGGACTTGAAGGTGTCACCATCACACCCAGAGCATCGCTGTGCCCCCAGGCTTTGCAGACACAGATGTGGCAGGTAAGGCAGGGGAGAGCAGGAAAGCAGCTCTGAAGCACCACAATCCCACAGGCTGCCACCACTGTGGCTCTTGGCATCACCCATCTCACCGGCTGTGCCAGCCAGCGAGGGTCCAGCAACACAGCACAGAGGGAAGAGAGGGGGTCAGGGAAAGGCTCGATGCTTCTCCAGTTCACAGCTCGGAGCGGGATCTCGGCTCCCCCCAAGATGGGGTTGGAGGCATCCCCTGGGCTCCCACTGTCCCAGCCCGGGCAGTCGTGGCTCAGGTGGCTGCAGGGGTGGTCAGCAGCTCCTTGCCAGGGCCGGAGGGTGAATTGGCACCACTGCTGGTCACATTCTCATATTTGG